TATTGTAATGTTAATATAAAATTTGTTAAACTAGGACTCTTGGTTTAGAATTTCAAATTTGGGGGGAATAAAAGGAGGTGAAGTGATAGGAGGAAGAATGACCCAGGCAAACTTCGAAATTATATATAATTTATTTAATAAATTTTACTATAAAAAAGGTAATTAGGGCTTCATAAAGTAAAACGATGAAAATTAATGCATAAATAATGTAAAATTAATAATTAATTAAAATAATATGAATAAATCAAATTTTAGTAATATGAATATCATATTTATTATAGGAATAAATTTTAGAATAGTCGAAATCAAGACAAATCAAAGAACAAATAAATCATCATCGATGTGAGTATTCATGTTTTTATATTATGGTAATATTTTGCTTCTTCAAGACCATATACATTTACAGTTACTATCACTAATTATATTGAAATTACTAAAAACCCATGATTTATGATTTTATTGCATTTTTGTTCATAATTTTCATATTGACATTGAAGTACCTATAATATAATTTTTATGCGGTGCTCATGTGACAGTTGTACAGATGTAAAATGATATAGATAAGTTATTAATATAGATATTGAACGTTATACAAGTATATTAACTGTTACGCAAATGAGAATGAAATAATCATTATTAAACAGTAATTTTTATAATATACCTAGATGTGCATGCTTAGTTATGTAGTCACCCCTATATGGTACTAACGGGGGAACGTTAATGAACCCTTGCATGTAAATAAAAAAAAAATGATTGATATTGAAGTACCTTAATTGATATAATTTTTAGAAGGTGTTCATTTGACGGTTGTACATATATAAAATGATATAAATACGTTATTATAATAGTAAAACATATTGAATAATATAAAATATCGTAAATTTTACATTGATTTATTAAAGACTTAACTGACATGTATAATATTTTTTGTATTACTGTAGTTTAGGAGTGAGCATTCACTGACTTTGGTTAGCTCACTGTTGTTTTAAACCAACTTTTTAGGTGTAATTAATTTATTTAAAGTAGAGAAACAGAAGAAAAAATATTTATGGAAAACAAGAACAACCTATAATGATGTAAATTTAATTATACTACTTTAATTTAATTACTTTAATGATTCTTTCATTTGATAATAGCTAGTTATAGAAAATGAATATAGAAAACTTACTTCTCACCATCAAGTTGTTTGTACCTGTCCTGATTAATTTCAAGCCCCGAGTCGGGTCGTGAAATCTACATGGCCTCTTCCTCCAAGGTTTTGTCCTAGAATTTTCTATCATATTCCTCTCTTCTTCCTTGACTTCATCAAGATTGGCAAATCTTTCATTCTCTATCTCTAAATCAACTAGTCAATTTGCCTTGAGCTGTGAAAAAGATCAATTATCTCGTGCCATTTAACCAAACTTATGATTTATGACCTTATCCGAATTTGGATAAAATAACTAAAAATATCCAAACTTCAAATGGATGAGGATTTATTTTCCTATGTTTTTAGGGGCAATTTGTTTTGTGTAATACCCATATCTTGATACCTAATATGCAGACAATAACTTGAGTTTGATATAGTAGTCCCTGTTTAGATGAAAGATAAGGGGAAAGAAATGCAATTTTCCGTCATGAAAGTTGATACGCTATCAACGAATTTTGTCATTTGGCATGAATCTCAAGGTATTTTTTTTATCAAGAAACATTCACACTCAAATTAAAAATCATCCAGAACTTTGATTTCAACAAACTTGCAATCAAATCGACCGACTCGACAAGACGAACACAATAACACCATACTGATATAATCCGAGCCAAATTAAACCCAAATTAAGTCATTAAATTACTTTTGTAAGCTTTAAGTGGCTAATTGGAAGGCCATATGAATTCCAAATCTGACGAGCTTGTACTCAAATCGAGTATCTCGATGAGACACCTTCAATAAGATCAAAATCACTTAATTCTGACATAATTAAGACACTTAAATGCCCACAAAATTTCGTCCAATTGTGCGAATCTCTCTGGGTCGTCTGATGAAATGGTTCAGATTCATTCCTTATTTAAAAGAAGGCCACTTACAGACTATAAATACAGTCCTACCCTTTTTATGAAAGGGACCAAGGTGGGAGACCTGGAGCAAGAGCTTGACGCCTGGACCATGAGAAGAATGAGTTGAATTCCAGTGCTATTCTGAACTGAAGACCCAATGAAATTTCTTGCACTCATAGCCATCAACCACTGTCAGCGTCCGCTCGTCAGCCACTATTAACCACTGTAGGCCTTCGTTGACCACCACCAACCGTCCCCTGCTTGCTGAAGTCAATAAGTCATACATGTAACAATATAATCCGAAGACGATGTAACACACCCCAAAGACGGTGTAACAACACAACCCATTAATAGTGTAATAACGTATCTTGAAGACGATGTAATGGCGCACCCCAAAGATGATACAATGATGCACTCTAAAGATGGTGAAACAACACACCCCGAGTACGCTATAACTGTCCATAATAACTGCTTACAACCACCATACTTCGAATAAGATAACATTTGAACTTCTGAAATTTTCTTCTTAGAACTCCCCACTACGGCCTATGTGGCTCATAACTCATGCAGGTCCCAACTCTGACATTTGCTTTGTACGAACATTGTTACAGCTCCCCATTAGGGCCTATGCGGCCAACTAAAACATACGTAGCTCGCAGCTCATGCAACTCTCAAATCTAACATCTGTGCTCTACAAACATTATTATAGCTCACTACTACGACCTTAGTGGCTAATAGCTCATGCAGCTCCCAACTCCAACTTCTATGGCCTACGAAAGTTGTTACAGCTTTCCACTATAGTAAATGCGACCAATTATGACTTACATGACTCACAGCTCATACAGCCCTCAACTCTGACCTATACGATCGGTGGATGTTATTGCAACTCACAACTATAGCCCTATGTGGCTTACAGCTCATGCTCCCAACTCCGACCATTGTGGCTCACAGAAGTTTTTGCGACTGATTACTATGGCCTATGTAACCAACTACGACCAACATGACTCACAATTCACGCAATTCTCAACTATGGACTTTGTGGCCTACGAACTTTATTGCAACTCACCACTATGACACATGCAACAAATTACGGCCTACGTGACTCACAATTCATGCAGCTCCAAACTCTGATCTCTATGACCTACATATATAATTGCGGCTCACTAAGGCGGCCCATGTAGCCAAATACGGCCTACATGGGTCACAACTTATGCAGTTGTTAACTCTAGCCTCTGTGACTTTTGGATATTATTACATCTCACCACTATGGCTTATGTAACCAATTACAACCTACATGACTAACAACTCATGAAACTTTCAACTCCAACCTCTGCGGCCTAAGAACACTATTTCAGCCGCCTGCTATATTCGTTGTGATCAACCGACGTTCCTAAAGGTACCTTGAACGACCTACGTGGTCAGCTACTACCAGAGCTTTTAATTATGACATCTATGACAAGCTAGCGCGATAGCCACTGTCTATAACATTCATGGTGAATTATTGCTGCCATAACAATTGATTACGAACTTTATAGCCCATTGCAACTATTATTATTAAGCTTTCATTGTACCTCAATATTGTAATTTCATCTTCACTAATTCAAGAGGAAAGTGGGCTTATGTATAGGGTTGTTGATGATCAAATTTTGAGCCGAGCTGGGGTCTACTCAAAATCAGCTCGAATAAAATTCGATCCAAAATTTTAGCTCCTAGCTCAACTCGTTTGTTTCGATCTGAGCCAAAATTCGAATCAATTTTCGAGCGATTAACGATCTTCGAGCTATATTCGCTAAATTCACAGTTATAACATCACTAAGAAAGTTAAAGATATAATTTTGAGCCGAGCTGTGGTTGGCTCAAAATCGGATCGAAAAAAATTCAATCCCCAAATTTTGGCTCATAGTCAGGCTCATTTATTTTGATCCGAGCCAAAATTGGAATCAATTTTCGAGCAATTAAAGATCTTGGAGCTAAATTCACAGCCCTACTAATGTATTTATAATTCCTTAGTGGATTACTTCTATTGGGTCAGACCACATGGTTTTTTCTCTTCACAGAATTTTCAAAGTAAAAATAGTATTGTTTCATCCCGCTACTTTTTATTTATGTGTTTTGGATCTCGTACTACGATGAGACACTAATTTATCACTCAACTACCGTGGATCTTCTGACGTGCATCAAAAGTAATGCAATTTATTGATTATAAAAAATGCAAGGATTGATTTGATAATTGAAGCCTGTTGTCAATTACTTTCACACATTCCTGACAACCAACATAGCCATTAAGGCTTCAGTAGCCTTTCAGTCTTCGATTAAAGTTTTCAATGAAAACTTAAATTCGAACGTCTAACATAAAGTTTGCATTTAGAACACTTGGTTTCAAGTCATCATTGAGCCATATAGGAATGTCAATGAGCCGAGCTTGAGCAAAGTTACCATGTGTTCATATTCAAGTTGTTAAAATTCATATTTGTTTGAAATTGACTTGTGTTTAAAATTATTTGAGAGCATCATGTTTATATTTGGCTTGTTCAATTTTGAGCTCAACAAAATAGAATTATTCTATAAAAATTCTAACTAATCAAAAAATATGAAAAAAAAATATATCTAATTTAAAAGGAAATTTATTTATATCAAGCCTATTCTCAGTCCAACACTATTAAGCAAAACTATATTCTGCTCATTAGAAAAACATAATTATAAATAACCATTCAATATCGCCTCGCTAACTAAACAAATGAATCTAGCACAAGCTTTTTAGCGAGACAAATACAATCTTCTTTCATGAATGATAAGCTTTTTTGATGACTTAATAGCATACCAAAATCAAGTAAGTTTCAATATACCAAGATTTAATCATCAAAACAATATTGTATAAATAAAAGAAAAAAGTATAAGAGTGGACTTGCAAGAGAGAAACAATACTAAAGATGTATAAAATAAAAAAAAGTGGTACATATGCATACTTTTGGCCTTGATTCCAATGCATTGGAAAGATTTTTGATATCCTCTACAAGTTTTAAAATCTCCGCATCTTTCTTTTCAACTGTTGTTTCAGCAATATCACAGAAAGTTTCATGCTCTTCCTGCAAACATCTTTACCATCAGGTTCAAAAATTACCAAAGCATGAAAACTAGTGTACTGACCTTGAGTTTCTTATATTGCAGCTTAAGCTCTTCCAGTTCCCTCAGCGCATCACTCCCAGTGTGATCAGGTTTGGCAATTTCTAGCGCAGCATATTTTACTGCAAGCATTTCATTCTACTTCTAAATATATATCTACAGAATTTGCAACCTTAAAAGAACAATCAAAAGATAGTTTATAAAGATATTACCTCTCCAGCTTTCTTCTACACTCTCAAGGTTCTTTTGCCAAGTTTCTCTCTCTACCTGGTGATGCGCCGCAGCTGAACTAAGCTTCATAGTAATTATTCTTATCTGGTTTTCGGCACCCCTAAGAGCAGCATCTCTGAAAAAGAACGAATTAAACCGGCATACTTCATGCATTAATAAATGGGGCTGAAAGATTATCTACGTTATTGCTTGCATGGTGTCTGTCTAAAGCTGAAATCACAGATCTAGAATGCAACCAGAACTGAATTTTCATTATAAGACATTATAAATTCTTGATCCAAAAGACTTCAGGCTTGTTAATTCAATTTGTGGACTCGCCATAAATTATAAATTATATCTTTTGGGCAGATGTCTACCTAGGGTGTCTACAAGTGTTTCATACACATTTTGATTTTAGGACCCCTTAAACCTAGCTTGGTAAAAAATTTGGTGATGTCAAACTTAACCCATTTGGTTTACTTCGAACCTAATTGGCCTTTGGATCTTTGATTGATCCAATCAGTGGAAACTAGAGCCTTCATTATGGTTCATGAATACATGTAGATCATTATCTTGTTGGGTCATCAATGATGATTATCCGCAAAAAGTTAAGCCCTGATATCAATTATCATAAAGTTACAACACAAGGCTAGCAAAAGCTAGAAATTGAGGAATATAGAAAAAAAACGAGCAATAAGAAAACTATGCAGGTCCAAGAAGTAATGGAAAACATCAAATAGTCATTTCTAATAACCATAATTATCACAATTCATTATTACATAGCCTTTAGCCTCTATTCATAATAGATAGCCCAAAAATATTGGAGTAAAGAATTAAATTTATCCAAGACTAATACATCTACAATTTAATTAAAAACAAGGAAAAACACAGACTAATCATGAACTAGGAAAAAAATGATGTTAATTAGATGACACATAAATCATGCTTGTCTTAAAGCAAATGAGGCAAGCATTAAAATCTTTTTTTATGAAATTCTAATTACCTATGTAAAAAAATAAGAGTTAAAACTGCGGCGGCAGTAGAATTTTATTTTGGGGTCAAAAACATGAAATTAAACAACAGTTGAAGTATCTATTGAATATAGCAAGCAAAATCTTATAAATAAATAAATACCAGAAGTATTTGTCTACTTCTTAAGAATGTCCACTTGTTCACTATCACAACATAAACTCAAGTAACACAACTCAAATTAGAAGCACTTGTTTATTGCTAAAAATTAAATCTAACTATGTGGTCCACATTCAATTTGAAAAATCAAATTATTTACCTCGCAGTGCTTTCTTTACTATGATTGTCCAATGCTTCTTGAAGTTCTTTAATGGCGCTATCCCTTTTTTCTAATGCAGTTGCTAATTCTTTTTTAGCTTCCTAAATAGAAAACATAAATAACAAATAAACAGGTAACGCCCAATACAGGTATGTTATTTCATTTAATTGAATAAAAAAATACCATACTTTGATTGCTTCCTCCTGAGCTTTCAACTGCTCAGCGTTCTTGGCGGCAGCTATTTCATTATCCTTCTTCTGGAGCAGAGCATGAGCACGCACTTTATAAGCAGAAAATTCCTTATCTAAACGGCTTATCTGCAATAGATGAGAGGTGGAGAATGATTTTTCAAAACAAATAATTATGAATACTGTCTAAGTATGTTTCACAATCGCACCTAAGATAGTTAAAAATAAGAACAAGTTCTGATTGATGGTTTTAATTATGACATCTCTTTCGAGCATCAATCATAACAAACAAGAAAGATCTTGTGGCGAAATAACATTGATCAAGGATCAGGTGTCTAAATTTAAATATTTTGTTTTTAATAAGAGGCCGTATAAAAGTACAGAAAGCAATGGAAATAATTTTTAAGCTCCAATATTGTATACATAAGGAATATCACAAGAATATCCACTGTATTGGAAAATAGAATATTAAAAAATATGCATACAAGAACCTAATAAACCTTATTCGCCCTTTAGCTCACAACATAAAGTCTGTGATATCCAAAAGAAAGATAACGTCGTAGCTTAAGGTATAAGGTATGAGGTGTAACTATATTAGCAAACAGGAGCAGGAATTAAACTATCTATGTAACTTCCCAAACAGACTATTGCATTACAGTGATTTTGAAATAATCTAATGACAATTTACACCTCATCTTTGGCGGTCACAAGTTCAGTTTCTCTAGTATTCAGCAATTGCTTTTGCATGGACGATTCAAATTCCAGCTGACCTGCAAGTCAGTAGTATCTTTGAAAGCTAATACTTCTCAAAGGTAAACTGGTTGTAATTGCTACCCATAGAAAAACCAAATATACTTCTCATTTTAGCAGCTTCAAACTCAGACCGTAGTAAGGTGCTCTCAGATGCCTCCAACTTAGCTCTCAGAGCTTGGATTCCAGCTTCCAAATCCAACCTTTCCTTCTCCTGGAAAGATGAAACACGAAATAAAATAGTGCAACAAATTGGGATATCAAAATTTGGCATATTTTTGCTGGTATGCTACAAGGAAGTAGAAAAGTGTCAAAATAGTCCCCTAACCTTTTGTAGGGGTTCATTTTAGTCCCATAATCTATAATAGAGCCAATTTAGTGCTCAGGCTCTTTAAGTGGGGGCTAAAATATTCCACCATGAGGACTATTTTGGTCTATATTAGAATATTCTATGGACTAATTTGGCACTTTCATGAACTCTATGACAAAAATGGCTCCATGTAAATAGTGACGGGACTATTTTGGCACTTTATCCCTGCATGGAAAGCGCAGCATATTGAAGTTAGCCGAGAGACAAACATTGGCAACAAAGATCCTAACTGTATGGACGAATATCAGTCATCCTATTTTATAAGTTTAACGGCATGAACACAATATTCTTGGACTTCACCATGAAATAACATGCTTCAAATTTTCAAACTCCATGTTGAAAGTGAAGGCAAGAAAAAAAAAAAACTAGACAGCAATGATATAATCAAATATTCAAAGTATTTGTAATTTGTATGATGAATGCTTCTTAAATTTCATTTTATTTAAAGTAGGAACCTTTATGAGTTCAAACACAATCAGTCACAGTAGAACATATCACATTAATATCAGAATAAAACTGCTCAAATTTCAAAGAAAGTTTTGTACATGAATTAAGTTATAAATTTAGGTTTTTCATAACCAGAACAAACATTTTTCTTCCTGTTGAAATAATCCTAAATTTGTGGTCAACAAAATTCCATCTATAGCAACAAAACAATGTGGAAAACAGCTTTCCACCTAGAACCGATACCAAAGTTAACCAAACAACCATAAAAAGAACAAATATTATTGCAGAATTCAGATAGGAAATGACAACAAGACAAACTGAAAGAGAAACTAGCAACAAACACGACACACAATATGCGACTAGGGTGACTCTATGGTGATGGTGATGGCTGTTGGGGTCTGGAAAGGTGGCGGCAAGATGAGGAAGTGGAGCAAGGGTGCGGGTACGGCAAGGAAACAGTAAGTACATGCTGTCCTGGGTGGCAGCAAGTCAGTAGGCGGCTAGATGAAGAAAAACCGGCGGCTAAGTACATTTCTAGGCAATGGCAGCAACGCTGGAGGGCTGTACAGTGAGAAAACAGCAAGGTGGAGGAGGTTTTGGGTGGTGAAAGCAATGCAGGGGGGGGGGGAGGAGTTCTGGGCGGCTGTTTAGGGGCAGCACAGGTGGAATCAGCAGGTATCAACAAGAAGGACTTGGAGAAGCGGCTAGGAAAGTTGAAGTAGGTAGGGACAGCAACTGCTTGCTGTTCTGGATGGCTGCACCAAGAAGGGGAGAGGATGATGGCGGCTGAAAGACAGAAACTGCAGGAAGAGCGAGCTTAGACTGCTGTTCTGGGCGACTGCAACAGAGATGGGAGACAAGGAGCAATAGGAAGCAAGGTGGAAAGGATGTGGAAAGGTTAGGGGAAGGATAATCACCAACTCGGGAGTGAGATACAACCGAAGCACGACTCGACCCTAGGATACAGCCCTAAAAGTGAAAACTAGAGACATCGGAGACTGTCCCGAATAAACACACACAAAAACTAAAAATTCAAACCCTAATACAACCCATATATAAGGACTAGAAAGAAAGGAAGGATAAAGGAAATGTGTTGAAAATTGAAGAGAAATTAAAAAAAAGAGTTCCTTGGTTCAGTTATATCCCACATGCATGACCCGGACACTGCCCCTCGTGGTCCCGGGATAGCGATACTCACGATCCCACGTCAGTCTATCGAGGTTGGTGTAGCTTCGACCTCATATGTCGAAGCTTTTGACTTCTAATGATATGACATAAGGTCTGCCATGTTAAAGGTGGTGAGTTATTGTAACCTTTCAAGAAGTCAAACATGCAGACATTGTCATTTCAAAGCACATCTTAATAGAATAAGTATTACTATTGCTTAGAAATAACTTAAGCTACATATAGATGCAGATTTTCATAAAAAAACTTTCAAGACAGTAAATATGTAATTTCTTTCTTTCACTCCTCGTAACCAACTGTGTATCTAATAAACAAATTCGTCTGGAGAAACTAACTCTAGAATAAAATTAGTGGCATGATGAGCCACTTTCAGTGACAACCACCCAAGAGGTAAGTTGTTGGTCATGATGGCTGACAATCCATTGAACAGGGGTTGTCCCTTTTCAGCTATCGGTCTATCAAACTCACATCTTCTAGAGTGACCAATGGTAATCCATCGGGGGCCTCTCTCATGGGCTTAGCTTGAATTACTAACGTCCCTTTCTTGTGTGCAACAAGTTGAGACTCCTCTCTGAAGTATGCAACCTCTCCTATATCAATGTCCATTTCTTCAACTGCCCTCTACACAGTAAAAGAGATCGCTCTCCTATTTAAGAAATCAGATGAAATGTGGCCAAATTCGTGACACTTAAACATTTACTAGCAAGGATAAATTTGGGGGCATTGGGGGTCTCCACATTCTCTCCACTCTGTACAGGTTCCTCCTCTAGCTAAGTCGGCTTGGTGTCCCACTGGTTGGACTCATGATGTTTGATCATGAGATTGAACTCTGCCTGTAAAATGAGATAGTCACCCGATGATATTGTAACCGGTGAAGTCCCAAAAACATATTTTGCTTGTAATGTGCGAGGAGATACTTGCATCTTCCTTTTCATCTCGGGTCAGGTAGTGATTTTGTCTTTTCCCCCACGCTGACGTAGGAGCTTCAAATTTTCCCACAACAGCGTTGTCCTTTTCTTTTACTTAATAGCGGCTAATTTTACCATTTGGTATGTTGGGATGTCCTGGCACTCAAAAACACGTTCCACTACTTGGAACATTTCGATGAACTTGTTTAGATCCATGTGGTCATCAAAATTTGGCAAGTCGCACAACACTCCAAAATTCTGGCACAACAGCGCTGTCCTTCTCGAATATTTCATATGAAACCTCTGGGGTAATTCATCACTAGAAGCTGCTCTGTGGAAGGGATTCACTTCATCCTTCAGATCTGACTTGTGATTACGGGTGACCTTTCCGGAATGTCTCATCTCGAAGGCAGCAAACCTCTATTACAAGTGGAGGATTTCTGGTTGCATATTTTCTATAGAAGGTTCTTAAACATGTCTTTGTGGATTTCTCATAAGCGGCATTATGTCCTTTCCTCCTAATCAGATTTCTGACAATTGTCTTCTCGGCGACATGGTTAGGGTTTTGGTTTTGGTTTGAATAGGTGGAAGAGGGTGTGTGTGATGATGTAGGGTGAGAAAGAAAAATTTTTTATAGTCTGTTTGGAAAATTTAGCAAGGGAGTGGGGGGTTTAGAAAATCATATGATAAGAATTGGGTTAGGCTCGTTTTGATACAAAATGATACCGCTGTTAACCAAACAATAATAGGAGAAGGAAATAATATTACAAAATTCAAAAAGGAAATTACAACCAGACAAACTGAAATAAGAAATAATAATAAACACGACACAACACGCGACTAGAGTGACTTTAAGGCGGTGGTGGTGGTTGTTAGAGGTCTGAAAAGGTGGTGGCAAGGTGGGAAAATGGGGCAAGGGGTGGATACAACAAGGAACCAGTAGGTGCTTGTTTTACTGGGCGGCAACAAGTCGGCAGGTGGGCTGGAAAGCGCACAACAAAGAACCAATAGGTAGTTGTGTTTCTGGGCAGTGCCAACAATGTTGGAGGATTGGACAGCGAGAAAATAGAAAGGAAGAAGGGGTTCTAAGCAGCAACAATGATGCAGTATGCATGGACTATAGGAAACAACAAGGAGATGGGAGTTCTGGTCGGATGTCTAGGGGCGGCGGTAGGTATTGTTGATTTTTTTTTTTTTTTTTTTGGGGGGGGGGAGGGACCGCTAGGCTGGAATGGATAGAGATCAACAAGAAGGACTTGGAGGAGCGCGGGGACAACAACTCCTCGCTATTCTGGTTGGTGGCAACAAGCAGAGAAAAGGATGACGGTGGCTGGAAGGTAGAAACTACATGAATAAATAGCTTAGGCTGTTGTTTCGGGTGGCTTCAATAGTGAAGGGCAATGAGGAGCGAGATGAAGCGATGTGAGAACGATGCAGAACGGTTGGGGAAAGGATAAGCACCACCTTGGGAGTGAGATATGGCTGGAGCACCATTGAACCCTTGGATACAACCCTAGAAGGGAAAGCAAGCGATGTTGGTGGATCTCCCAAATAAACACACGCAAATACTGATAATCCAAACCCCAACACAACTCATATATAGGAATGAACTAGAAAGGAAGAATAAAAGGAAACATTTTGGAAATCAAAAAGAAATTAAAAAAAAAGGCGCTTCGATTCAATTTTGCTGAGCGTGCATGACCCGGACGTCACGCCTTGCGGTCACAGGATTGTGAGACCCATGCTCCCGAGTCAAGAACAATCTAGCAATATATGGGCACATATTTCCATTAAAAAATTCATGAATCCTTACCTTAACATTCATTCTATGGCTTGATTTGCCTCTTTCTAACCCGAACCTACACCGCAAACCTTGCAAGTCCTCATGACATTAATTAAATATAATAACTTTCAATTAAAAAAAGTATAATCTTTATTTCCTAAAGTTTAGTATGACTTAATATCATCTAATTAATTAAAGAAATATCTTATATACAATAAAACATAACCCTAACCTTATTGCCTCGGTTTGGTTTTCACTTAACCCACGTGAAACTCCTCTTTGTGCGATGCCACTACTTCCTTATTTTCTCATCCGTAAAGGGCGTGATGTAGCCCTCCTTTCCTTTCTTCCTTTGACCGCAGATAACATCAAACACAGTCGAGCAGCTCATGAGACTTCTCACCCGCAAGCAAGACTTCTTCCATTTCACTTAACCCACGTGAAACTCCTCTTTCTGCAATGCCACTACTTCCTTCTCTTCTCATCTGTAAAGGGCGTGAATGTAGCCCTCCTTTCCTTCCTTCCTTTGACCGCAGGTAACATCAAACACAGTCGAGCAACTCATGAGACCTCTCACCCGCAAGCAACACTTCTTCCATTTAGCTTCCTCTTGTGTGGAATCGTCCAAGCAACAAGTTCGACGCTATCTCAAGCATCGCCTTCCTCCTATGCACTCTCTGACATGGCAAAGCACAAGCTTGCACACGTCGTCAATCTTCTGGCCTTCGTATGCGTCGATCAGCTCCCCAGGTAAGCCGTTCACGATCGGAGTTGACGTCTACTGCCTTCAGCTTCATCCCTCGCAGGCGAGCATTCCACTTTCTTCTTATTCTTCCTTCTTCTCCCACTTTCGATCCCTGTGAATCTCCTTCCTTCTTCATAGGAAAGCATTCCTCTTTTTTCTTCTTCCTTCCTCTCTCCCTATCAATCTCTGTGAGTCTCCTTCCTTCTTCTCTGCCTCCCTTCTCGTTTTCTCTATTCGTTCACTTTGAACGGGACACTCTCCTTAAATGAAATTGTCGAGGCATTTCGTTCTTACCCAAAACAATTGTACTAATTGAAACTTCTAATATTAATAACGTTATTATTTTTCTTCCGATTATTACAGGAACTACATATAGTCAAGTATTCTTACGAGCCAAGACTCAAGCCATTAAATATGTAACCTGCTTCTCCACTTCTCTTACTCGACTAGATGCATCCAAATAAACAAGCTTGTTTGGAGGAATTAACTCTGGAATGAAATTTGTGGTATGAAGGACAACTCTCAGTGGCAACCACCAAAGAGGTAAACTGTCAGTCTAGATATCCAACGATTCCCTCAATAGTGGCTAATTTTTCTCGTATTAACTTATTGAACTTATTGCCTTCTAAAACAATCAATGTCAATCCAGGTGGAGTTTCTCTCATGGCTCGGATTGAATCACTAGTGTCTTCCTAGTCGACTGAAAGTTGAGACACCTTTTTGAAATTTTCATATGTTGTGTCAATGTTCATTTCTTCAATTGTTCCCTGTCCAATGAAAGAGATCCCTCTCCTATTTAAGAAATCAGATGATAAATGACCAACATCGTGACACTTAAAGCATTTACTGACAATGATGGATTTGGGAGCAATAGCGGAATCCAATTTTTCTCCACTTTGTACGGGTTTCTCCTCTTGTTGGGTCAACTTGGTGCTCTATTGGGTGCACCCTTGATGTCTGATATGATGGTTGAACACTATTTGGCGTGTAGTGTGCACTTACATTGTTGTGTTGTCTCTTCACTTTCAGGGTTAGGGTATGAACATCTTGTAACATCCAATAAGGCCACAGCTATACCACATTGCCATTGGACGATCTCAAACCCCTCAGATATCGAACTATAGTGTTCTCCTAAAGCTCTACTAAGTGTTGCTCAAACTCAGATGTATACTCCATTATTGAGAAATCTTATTACTGCAAGTGATAAAGTCTCAAGAACATATCATGCCTATAATGAATTGGTAGATATTTGTGTTGCATCTTTCATTTCATCTTGAACCACATAGTAATCTTATTTTTCCCTTTTTTGTTGTTGAAGACGCTTTAGAATCTCCCACCACAAAGATTGACTCTTTTTTAACTTAATATCAACTACTTTAACATTTTATTTGGTGGAACATCTTCGTACTCAAATATCCAACTACTTGGAGCCACTCAATGAACTGGTTCAGTTTCAAACGTCCTTCAAAATCCAACAAGTCAATCTCCACTCCAAAATCTTGAATTCTCTGATTATTCATGTTAAAGGGCATTGGTTCTTCATCATTGAGAATTGATTGATGGAAGTATTCACTTCCTTTTTCTCGATTTGCAGAGTTATTGTTATGGCTACGAGTAATCACACCGGATTATCTCCACTCAAAGGCGGTAAGTCTATGTTGTATTTGGAGGATTTCACACCACATATCTTTTGTCGTACACCCATGAACACCTCTTTGCAGATTTCTAGTAGGAGGCATTGTGTCATTTACTCTCAATCAAGGTTTCAGACGAATGTAGGATTGCAAATCAAGGTTGGTTGGGGGCTTAGGTTTTGGTGGTGGGTGTTAGGGTGAAATTTTATTAGAGATAGGAAAGTTGGATTTTGAACATTCTAAGTTTAGGGCTATAAATCAAGGTAGGGGTGGTTAGGGTATTAAGTTGGTCAATGGTTGAAGTTATGTGGAATTTTGGGTAGGAGTTGAAACGATAAATCCCTAAACTTTTAGAGTTTGTCATGCTATAATACCAGATAATACTATTCTAGGACTCCTAGAAGGTGTTTGGGAAGTAAATTTAGCGAGAAGGTGGTTGTAGAATAACAAGGAAACGATAATATGTGACATCGACGGTGTTTGAAAAGATATGAGTAACAGAATCTCCTATGGACCGCATATTTAACATCAATCAACGACTGTTCCAACTGAAAATCAGCAGTCGAATTGCAAAATAGTGTGGTCCAGAAGTCGAGGAGGTTCCACCACCTGTTCCTAAGCAAGATACAGATACATGACTTGCAAAAGAAAGAGGATACAATACTCCAAAGAGCATAAAAAAGGGAATACAATCTCCATAACTACAATACATAAAACCAAAGTTAGTTGCCTCGAAATAGAAAAATACAAAATATATAAAAGTTCCTTGATTGAAAATAACCATTTTGAAATAGAGAAATAGAAAAAAATCAAACAAAAGGAAGAAAATCGGGTTGGAATAGGAAACTAGGCGGGCCCTATTGGATAACCCGCGATCGAGGGATTTTCTGCAATCCTGTGGAATCCTGCATCTCAGGATCGATTCTAGGATCCATGCGAAACCCCTCGATCCACGGCAAATCCAGCATGCCGGTGGTGAAGCTCCTACATCATTATCACTAGGGGAGAAATCAAGTGGTTTTTGAATCTCCGTGCTCCCTAATTACAACCTCTAACAAGTCCCAACAGTTTCAGTTTGAGTAGGCTAAAATAGACATATTGCCTAGGTAAAATGACATTTGCCATAATACATGACTCGTGCCCCCTTAGATTCTTAAAATTCATGGGTAGTGCAGCTATTAAGATCAATGCAATCAATTATGTTCCTTTCAAACTGGGTAACCCACCTCTCATTTTGTTTTAAGATTATTTTTGACACATTGTTACAAGCCGAAAGGACACATGCAGCAAGCAAGCAACAACAGCAGGCCTTCACATCCAAAAATCAAAATATAGTTGCATAATATAATGGAACTTCGAAACATGATTTTCTAATTCCAAACATAATGCATGCAGTAGGTGGCAATTGAACAATATACGTTCCTCAGCCAGACAAAACCATAAAAAATCTTTCTCGTACAACAAAGAAAAGAGGGAAGTTTAACTATGCCTCATTAGAGAATAGAAATTAAAAAAGAAAGTGTAAGCAACTTACAAAATATTAGAGGTAAATACTGATTAATTCAAAACTCTTATATGATTTACAAATATAAAAAGTAGAACGACAATTCAAATTCACTTGCAGGAAAAGCCATCTTAGAATAAAGAAAGAAGGAAAGAAAATTCTGAAATCATACATGCTTATCTTTGAGTTGAACAAGCTCCCCTTTTGCCTCCTCCAAGGCAGCTCCAAGACATGCAGCTTCATCAGATGAAGCAGCTTCCATCTCCGAAATTTTTGAATCTTTCTCTTTCCCCTTAAAAAATAATTAAATTCAATATCAAGGCCATCAATCCAAGCATTAGCCTATTTCAAGAAAATTAGAATGACCATAGAGCTGAAACAATCTGCATAATAAAAGACAAATTTGCTTTGCACTCATGTCCCCAGCAATATACTGAATGACAAAATTAACACCAATAACATCATATGCAGAACACTTCTATACTGCACAAAATGTGAACAATTAATTGCCGTTTTAGATGGATGGTCGGATGCATGCCTAATGTTTTTCAAAAGAATCTGTAAATTAGTTGCAGCATTCAAAATAGTTGATCTGCATACAAAGTTGAGATATACATTCATAACATATTTGAATATGTTTTAAGCGCTGAGTGAGGGGAAAAAACCCAGATACAAGAATAAACCATAAAACCATACACATTGTAAATTTTAATTTACCTGGAGGGAAGCTATTGTTTCAGCTGTTTTGCTTCTTTCAATTAGAGCATCAGCTAGTTGTGCTTCTAGGCCTCCTACTTGCTAAAGAGAATAGTAACAGGAAAATAAATAAACAAGAAAAAAAAAATCTAAAACTTAGATATTAAATCAAAAATAAACCTTCTGGTGTTTAGCAGAGAGATCCAAAATCAACAATTGTTGTTTTTCCTCTAAGGCTTGCAATGCTCTCTGAGTTTCTGCAAGAGCCTGTCAGAAAGCTTACCCGATAGATTACATAAAACAGCTTGTCATATGTGATTGTTAATCCACCAAGTACATTATGACACATAAAACATAGAAAAAAAAATACTCCAAAAATATAGAGGACTTTCTACCAAATTTTAAAATTTGGAAATGCAAATACTTAAAACTAATGAAGTACATGCATTGAATATAGCAACTCAGCCCACAGCATGTGAGGTATTTTCTGCATTGACCAAACTCATCACACACGAGGTCGAAACTCAATGGTTTTTACCCAAACAACTTGCTAAAAGGCCACCCATCCCGAGAGTATTCTATCACAAGCAAGCTTAAATATGAGGTTCCAAATGAACTCGCATTACACCAAATGCAAAAGATGTCTGGTATATTCGAGTCGAACCATTTATCATATAACCTAGTAATATATCCTCCTTTTTTGATGTGGAAATTAGTTTATCATCCCCAGTTTCTCCTAAAAGTATGTCATCCAAAAAGCCTTTAAGTGGTTCGTCCTTGTATGGGCCTCTGACACTCTCTTCAGATCACCCTCTTCACATTCAAAAGGTCAAAAGCTTACCAGCTCCCACTTGGTTCATACTTGAATCACATATCGTACTACAGAAGTACTAGCTCGAATGCCAATTCAAACCCAACCTATACTATGTAAAGAAATGATTGCTTTGACCTAACCCATCCATATTAGGCTGAACTTTACTACTCCATCCTTACTAGTATAACTTTTCAGGAGATTACTAATCCCAATAGTGCTCTATCACAACCAGGTTAAATTATGGAGTACCCAAATAAACTGCATGCGTTACAGCAAAAGGATTAAACTTAACCCTTTACTTATTATAAGCCAATAAGCCCCTCTTTGCTCATGGAATTGAGTTCTTTCTGGTCTCCATTTTCTTCTATAGAGTATTTCTATCTTATAAACCTAATAGGAGCCACTCCTTCAGCAGGCCTCTGCCCAAGGAATTACTCTCTCCCCTCTTTGGTCTGCTCTCTTCTAATCTGAGATGCCACATTGAATGGGAAACGAAAGAGCATAATAGAAAACTATTGAAAAAACAACAATATTTCTAAGGAAAAAAATTATGCTTAAGCATTCTGAAAAGAATCCCAGCTATGGTAATCGGTAAAATTCAACAGCAAAACATATGGACACTTTAATAAATGAAAGCATTATATGTACTTGATCATGCACGACAGTAGGAAAATATCTATTTAAATAAAGTCTAAAAACGTACTCTAATTTAACTCTTAAAAAAATGAATACTGTTCAACAATAAGAAATTGAAATCTAATAAAATATTGTCAGATTCATTAGTCATTAATTAACTAACTGCTGATCTCCAATAGGTCAACCGGTCATTACCTTAATCTCCGACAAGGAGATATGGGGTCAAAACCTTGAAAGAAAAGAAATGAAAAAAAAAAGGCCAATAAGCGGGTGGTTTTCTGAGAGTTGTACTGTGGTAGAAAATACACAAATAAAATTTAGAATAAAGCATCGTACACATTAGAAAACTGTGAACTTCATTATTTTAGACTGTATATTGCTAATCAGAAATACAAATTCTAATTACAAAAATCACTTCCAAACGCTCATTCTTTCCCATTTTTTTCTCTATTTAACAAGCATTCAATTAGATAGATTTTTTTTTTCCAAAAATGATAGCATAAAAGAAATTGATTTAGACATCCACATAGACCTGACAACATACACTCACATCTTCAAAGGTAAGTATGAATTGTATATACATAACCACACAAGTTTTGATGAAGCTATGCAAAGCATATATGTGACAATAGCAAAAGGAAAAAGAAATGAATCTCATATTAAAAGTTCTGTGCGACCTATCCCTAATAAAAAATAATAGGGTAGAATTCGTCATAAATTACTAGCACACCTGCTCTTTATCCAAGAGAGATTGCTGCAGACCCTCTAAAGTGCTTTCCTTAGCTTCTAACGAGCGAAGCAATTCATCAACATTGTCTCTAAGTCTGCAAATGGTTCACATCAATGAAACCATGAGTTATCATCATGGAAATCATTAGCCTTATCCCAACTACTTGGGATCAAATTTGGATTTATCTTCATATCTTTTGCCTTGGACTCTAAGATTGGCTGTCAACCGAACATCCAACCTCAGCCAAAGGAAAAATACATAAAGAAAACCAAAAAAAAAAAATGATAAAGAGCAAACATGAGAAAGGTGCAGCCATGCACTTCACCAAGAGCAATAAAGAACAAGCATCGCTGTAATCACCCGGGATAAGCGAAGATAAGAAAAAAAGATGCAAAAACTTCTAATTTTAACAAATAGAAGAAAAAATTACTAGCAAGCAACATTTCTTAAAATTTTTGGGTCTACCATTTGTAAATCTATCATTCATGCCATGAAAATAATATGAAAAAATGGAGGATTAATATACAAATGCATCAATATTAATTGCTCCAAATTCTTTTAAGAATCCTGATGGGAATCGTACTATTAAGGACTGTCTTCAAGGAATTCCTAGTAAGACATAACAGAAACCAAATACGCTGCATTTCATAAATCACACTAAAACAAAGACAAGTTTTATCCTGGAAGCCCATTCTCATCATGATCAAATCAGCTTCCCCAATGGATCCCAATTTCTTAGAACAGTGTTTGCCAACCACAGTAAATTATCAAAGTGGCTCATAGATCCCGCTACCAAGATTTGACAATGTAACCACCAGTGAGGCAGCTCTAGACATGAAACTAGATAGAGCTTTTTTTACGTTCATAAACTTCATAGTTTCCTTCAAGTTGTTGACTTTGCAATAGCCGTCAGTTCATCTCTCCACCAGAAAAATTTGAAATTGTAGTTTTTTTTTTAATTATGCAGTGAAAGCAGCCATCAAAACACCCTTCATACCATTTTAAGGATTCAAAGCATGATGAAACTAGGAATTGATCATCTCAAGTCCCGTGTCAAGAAAATATTTAGGAGCATTTTACATACATAGAACACAATTCTTAAGTATTTACATGTCTCATGGCTACACCTTAATATTTACACACACAGCTCAAATTTTTAATATAAAATTAAAAAATAGTACTATTACCACATTTAAAAGTGAAATACACATTTTCATGCATGGATTGATGTGGCCATTTGTTCCCCCGCGAGACTGCACAAGATCTGTTCCGAAGGATCACGCGGGTGCGCAGTCCGAACAGTTTGATCCAAAGGAATTGGGGGAAATGGCCCTCCTGACTGCATGGGGTTGTCACCCACTCTGTGAGGACCACTCTATATCCTAAGTCTATAAGTATGTTATTTTCATGTTTTAGAATAGTTTTTCGTGTGTTTTGTATCAGGAGAGCCACCAACATCTCTTCTTCCCTTTGAAGGTTGTATCCTAGGATTTCAGGTGGTGATTCAGCTGTATCTTGGTCTCCAGGTGATGATTACCTTCCATATCCCCTTTCACATCCATCCCACATCGCTCCCAGCCGCCCTTGAACAACACCTATTTGTTGTTTTCGCTGAAGTTTCCCAATTCCAGCGGCGACAACTGTCCTCTTGTTGTCTGACAGTCCACCATAGCTGTCGTTGTCATTCCCTCTTCGCTACCGCTGCAATTCCAACCCTCCATATTGCTGCCATCACTATTCCAGCCATCCCAGCACCTTCCTCTACCTCCTCTCAAGCTTTCGTCTCATTGTCGCAGCCCCGTAAACCCCTCGCCTTCATGTCTATTGTTGTTCAGCAATCCCAGCATCTTCCTCAAGCCTTTTCAGCCATCTTGCATCGTTGTCGCAGCCCCGCTACTCCATTGTCTTGCTGCGCTACTGTTGTCCAGCCATCCTCGCCGCCGCAGCCCATCGCATTACCCTTTTGCTGCTGCCCCGCTATCCCACCTCTTAGGAGGCCCAAACCTTCGCCGATTACCACCACCATCCATAAATCTAGCCCTAGCTTGGGTTTGAGTTGTCAATTATTACAATACCAGTTTTCTACGAGTCGATTGTAATTTTCTATTTGAATTCAACAATAATATTTATCTTCTTATTGTTGTTTGGGTTAACTCTGGTATCATGGGTTTAGAGCGCCAAAGTGATATGCACGTAAATATGAAAGTTTAGATGTGAGATATGTAAATACAAAAGAATTGTGTGCTACATATGTAAATTTCCGAAATATTTATTCAGCATTCATGTATTTGAACATTCAATATGTTCCCTAAACCCTCAGCTCCCATGGACTGGGTTCAATCATAGGAATTTTCTCATATCAAGTGAAGTTTTGATGAAATTTGCAGCACAGAGAGTTTAAGTGGAGATATTAGAAAACTATACAGCCTCAACAGGAGGTTACTTGTTATTCGTTGCACGTAATTGTTGCCTTTCAGCGTCCATTGAACGCAATGCTTCATTTGCTTGTTGGCGAGTCCGTTCCACTTCTTGCTGTGCTGCTATTTGCTGAGATGATGTTTGTTCAGCCTTCGCATTGATATCATGGAGACGAGCTTCAAGGTCATCTTTTTCCTAAGAATTGCATTGAATAATTAATGTTCAACAAAGGTTCGTGAAATATACAGAATGAGCACCATTTGAAAAGGAGAAAATGAATAACAAATTGAAATATCAAGCCATAAAAGAATCAAGCAAATAGCAATCACCTTTTGAAGTTCTTGAATTTTTTGCTTCGCGCGCTTGTGAAGCCTTCCAAATTTGGAATCTAGTTCAAAGTGCTTCTCATCACGTTCTTTTATTTCCCGTTCCATAAGTTGCTGAGCTACAAAAGTTGAACTACATGATGGCTTAAGATTTGAATGGTCGGAATTAAATATTCATAAAAAACATCTGATTTTCTCAAAATAGCTTGAATCAATGAGTTGAAAAAATTTCAATCATCTGATTAAAAAGCAACTAATATGGAAAGATACCCAGAAGAAGTTAATTTTGCAATTCCGAATCAACAATAAACATCCATTGATAAGCAAGAAAATCCTATTAAATGGTGAATTTTTTATGATAATCATAAAACAGCTAGGTCGTTCTCATGATTCTGAAAGCTTAGAAAAAGGTTAAGAGGTCAAATTTCATACTGAAACTACAATCTTATGATAAAAGAGTTTACACTAATTTTAATACAAGGAAAATTAGAGGATTTTACTATCAGAAAGGTGCTAATCACCACTTGAAGATTTCAAACAAGAATAGGAACTGCATTCAGAGATTCATATCCATCTATCAGATTTCATCGAGTGAGAGAAACGTTGAGGGTTAGCCATTTACCAGTCCAAAGTATAACCTTACTATCTTACCTTAGTATATTTTTTATAAATCAAACTAAAAATTGTGTATTTCCTTGCTGTGGTTATTAAAAAGAACAATACTACTTGACAAGTTCAACCAAGGCTGAATACAAAAAGTATCATCAAACAAATGATGTAACCACTTCTATGGAAAAAAAAACCAAACTTAAAATACAACTATAAAGACAAGAAGCATATAATTGAAAGGCCAGCTAACCTTCGATAAGTTTTAAGGAAAGCTCTTTAACTTTCCCATCAGCCTCAGAATACTCTGCCCTGAGATGTTCCAAAGCATTTTCTGCTGCCTTTTGTGTCTCTCTTTGCCCCTGAATTTCCTTGTTCAAGCTGTTTACCCTCTCTTGAAGGTGTCTAATTATCTTAGAAGCCTCTTCATCTTTACTTCCATTGTCTGGCTTAGCAACCTCAACAGATCTTAAGGCCTGAGATTTTGCGCCTTCTATCTGAGCTTTCAAATAATCATTTTGAAGACTCAACTCCATGACTATTTGTGTTAGTTGGTCATAGGTTCCCCCGTAGATTTCAATTCCATCATGAACATCATTATGCTTCCCAAAATTAACATCAGAACTATCCAACTCTGGGTTCCCATTAACAACTTGGTTTGATTTTGTTGCAGCATCTTCCCTTAGACCTTGTACTGATTCATCAAATCTCTCTTCATGATTTGAGATATCAGTCATTTCACCAGTTTCCATGTTGACTCAGGCAATGAACTATAAAAGGTAACAAATAAGCCAGATTAATTAAATATACATTAATCCAGCGCCATAATTACAGAATGCTACCACTTAATCACATTCCTGCGAGTAAGTTAAAAGCAAATAGTTTCAAAATTAAAGAAAATAATAACCATGAAACAATTAAAATCTCGATAACTGATAATGTCAGCCAGGGAATGTCCAACAAGACATCAAACATGTTACATAATTCACACAAAAACATAGTTTCAATTGCACTTTACAACGAATCACAAAACTCATTAGATTTTTGTCAATCATTAAATTCTTGCAGTTGCGTTTAAAAGTTATTTCAACTTCTCAAACATGAATCTTTCATTAGTCAAACAAAGTCAAGGCCGTGATTTCAATGTCTATAAATAGATGCAATCCTTTCTTCGTCGTAACACATGAAATCACAATCTCAAATTCACATTAAGGTAATTCTTCGCCGAATGAAAATAAACCAAATCCAGCTTCGCAGTCGAGCTCGGATTCCACGAGCAACCACATTATTCCAAAAATAGGGTTTGCTAGACATCATTGGAATGAAATTCAGACAGTAGATCAAAAATATCTATGAGCAACCCATTGGGTTTACAATCAAATGAGTGCGGATTAGAGGAAAGATACGAAGAAAGAAAGAGATGGAGAGATCTAAGTGGAAGTTTACCTGATTGACAAACCAAAGAGTGAGAGAGCGGCTGGGAGATTTACAAAACAAAGCTGCTCCCTCCAATGCCGGATCAGGAAACCGAGAACGAAAAGTCAGAACCTTCTACCATCTCTTGTACGAACAAGGAAGTGGATTCCCGAAGAAAAAATTGAACGGAAGAAGATTTGCATACATACTTCTTCGTTCTTTTATACATACATTAAAAAAAAAAAAAGACCACGACATATTCATTCCATTCCATGCTAATTAGCTCGGATGAGGTCAAATTCGAGATTATATATACACACACCTTATGTGAAATGTTGTATTTCACTTTTTAATAATTAAAATAGTAGAGCTTCTTATCTAAATATTACATTAGGACTCCGCACGTAAAGTTACGTGTGGAGTTCAATGAAATCACGCCACACACGTGAATGTGAGGAAAAAAAATCGTTCTGGTAATGTAGGGAATATTTCTCATGTGTTATTCAGATCTTATTGTGTGTTATTCAAGCGTTATTGATGTGTTATTGTGTTATTATAACACCAGGAATATTTCTAGAACACAATAACACATGGTTATTATAACACCAGGAATATTTCTAGAACACAATAACACATGAGTAACATACAATAGCACTTGAATAACACGGGGGGGAAATATTCTCCGGTGTTACCTGTGTTACCGGGAATATTCCCTTGTGACGTGATTTCATTGGATCTGCACGTAACTCTACGTGCGGAGTCCTGATGTAATATTTCCTCATTATATAAGGGTTGGTTGGTAATTGGTATAAATATAAAAAAGTAAGATTTATGTGTTTCATATGTAAATATACAAAATATGGGTGGTATATATGTAAATGTCCCCAAAAAAAAATCAAAAATAAAAAATGGCAGAAACCCAAACTTTTTGCTTTTGATATCTAAAAAAATATTAAATTTTTTTTAGGTTTACTATAATTTTTAAATAATTAATGAAATTTTATATAATATTAATTATTAAATAAATTTGATAAATTTAAAGCATATTCTGATAGGAAATTTATCAGAATATCTTAACCTTTTCTTCATTTTAGTTTAAATGAAGCCAGCAGTTTAAACTTTTCAATATTTCTATTTTTATGTTACTTCAATCAATTTTAATTTGAGTAATTGTGTGGCATCAAATAAATTTTATTTATAAAAATCATAAATATACTTCTGTTTATACAAATTAAAAATTACTAAATTTTGTTTTTAATTATTTATTAAATTAAATAATTAATGTTTACCGTGTGCAAGTTTATAAATTTATAAATTAATTTTAGGTTTACTAATATATATTTAATTACTTTAGTCATTATACCCTTCCAAAACATTTTTTATCCTGTAACTCCTATTTGATACTTTTTCATTAGAGCTCATATACGACAAGTTCAACCAAGTAAATACTGGGGGTTCTAAATTGGATTTATTTTGGGCCATGTGGTTAAGCAAAAGGATATTTACATTATAGCACAAAGTTCTTATATATTTACATATCTAACCTAGATTTTCATTTTTATGTGCATGGCACTCAAATCTTAATATTACATCAAAAATATCACTATCATTAACCTTTTTTTAAACTAAAAAATAACTATTAATGCATAACTTTATGAGGCCAAGAAGACAATAAATGTAAATATCAAATTTTAAACTTTAGATTTGTAAATAAATAAGAATGGCATGGTGTGCATATAAAATCCTATCTATAAATAACAATAATGGCCTCGGTCGGCAAGTCAAATTAAGGGGAAATTTTTTTGTCCAGACTCTGGACGTAGCTCTACGTGCGGACTCCAATAATATGTCGCCACATGTGCGACACTGCAAAAGTTATTGAAGAGAAACATTTATATTTCACTTTAATAACCCGAAATAACATCCGCGATCCCACTTAAATAACCTCGAAATAAAACCGCGGAAGTTATTTTGAAGTTATTTCCGGATTATTGAAGAGAAACTCATATATTTTACTTAAATGACCCCAAAATAACACCGCAGAGATTATTCTGGGGTTATTGAAAAGTTTGTGTTTTCACTTTAATACTTTTTTAGATGGGCTAATATCGAACACATGACGATATATTATTGAGAGTCCGCATGTAGAGCTACGCCCAGAGTCTGGATAGAAAATTTTTCCCAAATTAAGGGATGGAGAAGATGAAGAGATAAAATCTGTAATAACAATTCTCTACAATTCAACAAACAACTAAATTACAAAGCATTCCCAAGCAGTATAAAACAAATGCAGGAAATCTATCCTGCTACCATTAGTTCTTGAGTTCTGCAGCACATGGCTTTCCATGAAGAAAATAAAGCATCAGGAGAAAAACAGAAGATTATTGCTCCCAATCAACATCCATTAAAGCATTCGCCCCACAGATTGCTAGAAGCAGAAGCCTTCAGATCCGCCATGAAAACCAAGCACATTTCTCCATTGCATCTTCAGTAAAGAATCAAATAGTAAACTTCATCGTCTTCTTCTTCTCCGCCCTGTAAATGAAGAAAAAATCAGAACCAGAAATAAATCCATGGAAGCTTATCCTCTACTCTTATTTCAAACAGAGACTTCGAAGAGCTTCAGTTACCGTTAGCAGTTGGAACAAGCAAGCCTCGTTTCTCCAAGCTTTTGAAACGGTCCCTTGCAAGGGTGCAACAGCCCTTTAACAAATTAAGAAGAGATTATAAGTTTTAAAATTTATCACTTTGATTGGAAATTTCGAATCATACAAAGTTTAGGAGCACCTTCAGCTTTCTAATGGAGCCAGAAATTTCTTCAGTTAAAAGGACTTGCTTTGAAGCTGGTACAAATCTGAGAGTAAGGGTGGGAGTGTAAATTATATTACGCTTGTACTGGAAATTTGGTTGCTTGAAGATGGAATTTTTTTTTTCAATTCAAGTTCCACGAATTCTTTCAAAATATTTCAGAAGCGAAGGTTTCCCCAACTCAAAACAAGTGAAAAATGAATCCTTATTTTATAAAGGGGAATTTACAAACATACCGCACAATTCTTTACATATCTAACACCTAAACTTTCATATACAGGCATAACACTCAAATCTTTAACATCACATAAAAAATACCACCTTTACTAATTTATTTACGGTGAAATACACCTTTTAATGCATAGATGTACAATATCAGAGAGTTATAAAAGAAAACATTAAACTTTAAGTGTTAAATATGTAAATACATAAGAATTGAGTGGTAAATATGTGAATTTCCCTTTTAAAAAACATGTTTCTATCCACAAGCAACCAACTTTGAAACATCAGTTCCTCAGGCATTCAAAACTAGACGATTCATGTTAATTTGCAACTTTCTATTTATGACAACTCATTTCAGCAATTTCCACTTCATCAAATTCCAAAATGTTCTAAACGCAGCATGCTAGTTAATGAATTCTTTCTACTCCTATTTTGCAGAAATTTATGTAACTAAAAATAGTAAGATACAGTTGTAGCTGGATGATAAGTGAAGATTAGCTGACAATGGAAAATGTTCTGGTAAATGCTTGGAACTGAATGAATTTATACTAGGAGCATTTACATAGATAACACAAAATTACTATTTATTACATATACAACACATGAAACACTGATTTTTACATTTTTGACACTTAAATATTTAATAATAAAAAACACCACTATTATTAACTTTTTAAAAGTGAAAAATAACTTTTCATGCAAAGGTAAACTATCATAAATATAAAAATTAAAATTTGGTATTAGATATATAAATACACAATTATGCGGTATGCACATAAATCTTCCATTATACCAAGTGAAGTAGGTTCTAGGTCTCAAAAGTTATGAAAGTGATAATTTAGTAGAGAAATGGAGTTTTACTTGTGCTTTCCTAACCGAGGCGGTCGGACTTTAAGGTTTTCATGCTTCGCAATAACCCGCCTCAAATGCCTGCTATTCTTTTCCTCATCTTCTTTTGCTATTTCCTTGATTATATCCGATAAGCTATTCATGTTAAAAGTTAGAAACCTTACAAATATTTTCATATAAACACCAAGTTACAAGTATAGCCATGCTTCATACCAATCGATTTGCTTGGACATGTCGTCTCGCTTCTTAGCTTCGGCTTCAGCTTTCATATGCTTTTTAAGTTTGGCTCTTCGGTTCAACTCTACTCGAGTTACTTTCTTTGTTTTTGATTTTCTGCATCAACAAAAAAACAAAATATAAAACTAAAAAATTTCTTCAAAAGACGATTGTTAGAAACTATAATGAGTGAAGTGTCAAAATTGTCCCCTGATTATTTACATGGGGTCATTTTAGTACTAGGTTTTAAAAGTGCCTAATTAGTCCCTTCACTCTATTAACATGGGCTAAAATAATCCCCAAAGATAATTATTTTAGTGCTCATTAAAATAATCTAGGGACTAAATCAACATTTTTTTATTCTATGGGATTAAAATGGACCTCTAAAAAGAGTCGAGGAACTATTTTGAGATTTCTCATTTCAACATTCAAGTAAAAATGACAAGATTAAATGTCAAGAAGAAAAAGCAAATTTCAATCTCATGTTAACATTATCAGCACACAAAGCTAGCATATTGAATTTCATTGCTAGAAAGATTCATGGAATGATAGAACACAAAATCCATAATTTCATTTTATAATAAACCAAATTATTTTGAAATACAATTAAAATGCAATGAATTAAATTTACACTGTATTTGAAATACCCATGCATTTTGAGTACTCAAATACAAAAAACACCTAAGAAATAAATGTTTCCTAAGAACTTAACAACGGGCTCAGACATATAAATAGAAAAAAGAATTTGAAAAAGATCGGTGGATTTGAGAACCACTCTACCAAAATCAAATCACCCTAATACAACACTAAGGGCTTGTTTGAGATCACTTTTATTTTTGTTTTTGTTTTTATTTAGAAACATGTATGTTTGGTATTTTTTTTTTGCACGCTTTATTTTTAGTTTTCAAAAATAAATAAATTTGTTTTTAACTCATAATATCTAAATGTTGTTTTGAGTGTTTTAAAATCAATTATATTATAACATATCAAACATGTTTCATTTTAAGCAAAAACATAAAAAAAAAAAAACCAAAATCAAAATTGATTCCAAAAGGCCCCTCAAACAACATAGACCCACCCATAAGAACCATGTAAGAGTTGAGATGGGAAGGCAAGGACAGGAAGAAGAGAATATAGGAGAAAAAAATAACAATACAAAGTGTATCTAGAAAATATTTAACGTGTAATTTGATCTTTTTTAATTGATGTTTAGGTTGTGGCATGATACTACCACAATTTTTGCTTAAATATCAGGAACCAAAATAGAATGCAGTCCTAATTAACTCAGTCGCTTATAAAATGATAATATACTTTTTCCATGCCACATTTAATTCGATGGAATTTTTATGCTAATCACCACCAAAGTACAAAAGACAAAACAATCAAAATGCTGTGGTGGTTGCTATAAAAAAACTACAGGCCGGCAGACCTTCGTGCAAGAAGCTCATCATTAGCATTATCCTGATCTTCTGCATCGCTCTCGTTGTCATCATCTGCATCAAGAAAATATTTCTGTGCCAAAGAAAAACAAAAATCATGAGTACAGAAGAAAGCGCTAACCATATATTGTTATTGAAACCTGTGAAGACATGACAAAAAAATGTTTCACAACATCGAATGTCTTGTTTAATTTTATTTTCTGTTTTGTTTTTATTTTTGTTGTTGTTTTGTTTTAAGAACATATATGTTTCACGTAATTCTTACCTATTGTTTTTTTTCCCAAACAAATTTACTTACTTTTTAAAACACATTTTAATTTTTTTAAGTGATTTTGAATACAGCAAAAATATATTTTCAACATGCCAAATATGTTTTGTTTCAAATCAAAGCATAAAGAAAAAAAATGAAAAGAAAATATCAAAAATAAATAACAGAAATAATCTCAGAAAGCCCCTAAGCAAATGGGTGGTATATGAAAATTTTGATTAATAAGCGATTTTAAAGCTCATTTGAAATAACGAATGGAATAAAAGCTCGTGGATTTGACTGAAAAGACATTCATGGCATGCAAACTTAAAGAGCTCTGTTTAAGCCCAGTTAGCCTCAGCCCTATACCTATTATTTTAAGCTTTCTAAATAAGAAAACCAACTAAATGCATAAAGCCACAACATTTGACTTATGGACTGTTTGGTTAACAGGTTTTTCGGTGTACAGTAAATCAATTGCATGAATTTTAGAAAATATAATGTTTGGTCTACAGTAAAATAAATACGTTGTGAATTTATGGTGCACTTTCACTCTACGATAAAAGGGTTTTCGCGTGTAAAATAAATTTACTCAAATTGAGCGAAAATAAAGTACAATGCGCTGCCTTTTTCATTTTGTGGGTGAAGCTCCACTCGCTCCAGTGAGAAACATCCTCCAACTCCAGCGAAAAATTTTCAAGAGCACAAGTTCAAAGGCTCTTGTCCAACTATGTGCAAGCTCTGAAGCCTCCGGCCCAACCTATATTCGAATGATCTCCTCTTGTGCTTTGGCTTGTCTCTGCCTCTACCCTGCCTCCAAGCCAAAGGAGCTCGGCCCAGGCTATGGTTCTCCTTCAACTCTGCTCTACCTCGGCCATGACACCATCTAGGGCATCGGCTCTATTTCGGACAAGGTTGTTTCTGTCAAGGCTCCTCTTTCACTCCCTCGTCCTTGCGCTCCTTAATTCGTCTCCGCTCATCCTCCTCTCCTCTTCCTTGCCCGACGCTCCAAGAATTGTTGGTTGTTTCAAGCCTAGGCGACTCTTAAGTTCCCTCATGGTTGTGGCAAGCTTAGTGTCCTCTGCAAATCGCATGGGACATGGCTTCTCATGATCTATCAGTGAGTTCACATGTAAACACCGTTAAGTACTCCAAGGCTATAGCCATCACCGATCAGGCCACTGTGCTTGTATAGGATGGAGTTTCGGTCATCTGTCTCGCTGCCGATAAGCCCAATTTTGACACCCTTGTTGTCATTGCTAACGTAGATCTCATATCTCACATTAGTCATGGTTAATGATATTTGGTTTCAACTAATTTGAGATTGGTTTTAGGTTAGTATAAATGTAATTCGTGAGGGCTACACGAGGTATACTCCAAATGTTGGGACTCTAGAGCTCAGGAAAGCTATTTGTCGTAAGCTGGAAGGTGTGATTGGATAATGTTAACTAGCAGTATGTTCCTATACTGTCATAGAGTTAAATTCACCATATTTCTCATCATAATGTAATAAAAACCTTGCTAGAGAGGATCCTCATCTATGTTTCATTACAGTTGCTCTCAAATGAACATCATGTACTGCTTCAATTGCTAATGACTATCAGTTACTGTCGGCGTTTAAAAGGGGGAAGTTGCGTTTGGGGGTCGCCCGTAAGAAGCTGTCGGCCGCCGGAATCGAAATCCCGTCGCCCGCTTCGGAAGGACTTTTTTTAATTTACATATATATATATATAATTTTAGAAAAATATGGAATCAAACTGACCTCATATTTTTCACAGTTTAAATGAAAGAGCGCTCTACCTCAAATCCTGTATCTATCCCGAGGGATAAACACAAGACTTGAGGGTGAGGCTCAATCAAATAAACTAAGAAAGATATGACATCCGTTTGGGTCTGCGAAACCATTTTATTTGCCGACAAGTTCCCCTATTTAATACAAA